CGATGATCGGTTCTCTGCTTTGGGAACCGATTCTTCGTAAAACAATGTTTTTCTAACAGCTGATTGGTGGTTTCAAAATGGCCACCAGGTAATTAAAAGGGCTCCCCGCTATATTTAGGGACGGATTCCTCGCTATAAAGGCAGCGAAAATGGCCGCTGTATGGAGGATCTTCGCTGGACAGTGAGGTTTTACCCCATTGGAATGCATTGAATGGGTTTCAATGCGTTTCAATGGGGTTTTTTTTATTTCGCTTTCCGATGTTTTCGCTTAACGGCGATTTTCCTGGAATGGATTATCATCGTTAAGTGAGGCACCACTGTATCAGTCAATAAACTAGTGTTGAAACTAGACATGGAAAACCATTTCTAATCTTATAGTGAAGTTAGGGCGTAAATGGATGGGATGGGTTGAGGGAGTCTTGGAGTGAATGCCTCAGGTGTGAGTGTGAACTTTTCTATGCGTGGTTCAATGATTTAGTATGTGTGTGAATGCATACGTGTGTGTATATCAATAGCCACTTCTGCCTCCCTCATCTGCACTGCACTGCCCGTTGTGCTTTCTGTCCCATCGACAACAAAGGGTACTGGCCACCTCTGTAAGCCATAAGGCATGAGTGCACACATATGCACAAGGGAAAAACCCATAGGTATTGTAGTGGTGTATGTTGCACACATTATAATCACATAACAAAAACAAAAAGCAGAACGCCCTGTGAATTACTAGGATAAATTTTCCAGGAATCCATACCTACTGTAAGAGTGTGGCCACCCTTGTCCAGGGAATCATGGAAGCTATCACAGAATGTCATGTTCAGTACCTCTTTCAGATCCTATTCTCATTAGTGCTTTATATCCTGTGAAAGTTAGCAACACTTTAAAGAGAAACTAAGCTATCGGCAATTAGTTTGAACAAATGCTTTGCATCTTTGCAATCCCACCTAATAAACATGCCCTCCATTCTCAATTTTCAGTATCCTCTTCTGCCTTGCAATTTAAAAGATGTTTATGTGCAAAACTCTTGATGTCAACAAATCTTTTAAATTTTTGATGCCATCTCTACAGTCAGGTATTGACTTGTTCCTGATTGTGCTCTCAGTTTCACAGGAATATCAGTGTCCTCCTCTTCCCCTTTCTTTTTGTACACAATCAAAATGTACTGATGTGCATACATGCAAAGGGATGCACATCTCTCATTGTGCAAATGCAGGCCTACTTAAATGGGAAAAATCTAAAGTCAATGATCCTACAGAGAAGAAATACTGTATGTGCATAAAAAATCATGCAAGGACTGTTATCTAGGTGAACTGAAATGACAAGAAATGCAACAAGGGTTACTAGCACAGGCACATCCTAGCTGTCCTTTGTTTCTGTCATTCTCTAGAGCATGTGCCTCCTTTTCATTGCAATGCATGTATTTCTTTATAGAGTCAATTAAAGAGCATTATTAAAGATACATTCATCTGACAAAAGCCTGTGATGTGTTGTGGTTCTCTAGTCCAAACAAAAGGCTTTGTCATGCCTTTCTGCCTGTCTTCAGCTCCCATCAATGTTGCTTCTATTGAAATCTGCTTGCAATTTACGTTATTATGCGGTTTTAGTTTTAATGAAGCATTCCTGTTTTTCAGACTTGCATCTGAAAAACTTTAGTTGTAGACATGAGTTTGTATATACTGCATTCCAAACTTGGAAAACAAAGGACTTCAGATGTACAGTTTTACAGACCTATAGATCCACAGGGATTACCAAAAATTACAAAATCTGTGATTAACAGAACTGGACTATAGAGTCTGTTTTCACTTCTTTTATTTCTATCTTATTACTTATTCTTTCCTATTCTTCCACTGGTGCGTGCATATGATTAGAATGTGAAGCACCGTGTACAGGAACTATATCTCTTTTGCAGGTTGCATATAGCCTACATTGATGTGAAGGCGAAGATGAGAATGATAGTAAAAGGTGGGGTACACCCTTTTTGATACTGTACTTATTTTTGTGGTTTCAATCCAGACTTAGTCATACTTGGAGAAAATCCAATGAAATGAATGGAATCTACGTTAGTTATAACTAACTTAAGCCCCATGGCTTTCAAGGGACCTGTACTGAAGTACAATATAGCTCCAACGCCAAGCACAATAAATGCACATTGTCACTTTCTGCAGAAATTCAGCCTCCTAAAGAATTCAGAGAATAATAGTCAAGCTTCTGCCTGATTCATACCAAATTCTCCCTGCAAGTATATGAGCAATATTTGCTGAAACTGTAAGTACCAAAGAGTTGTCGAATAAAATTAATAGTAATCCATTGACGTAAGATTGACAGACAGAGGCAGAATTTGTAGAGAGTTTTCAGATTACTCTCATGATCTTTTTTTTTTTTTACTTCTTGGGATTCATTCCTCCTATAAGGCTTATCTGTATTGTGTCGTAACTATGGACCATATGTTGGTCACAGTATTACTGTCACTGAACCCTTGCTCTGCAAAATTGCTATCACTGACATCATCCCACTCTTGCAACATTGCATCCTAGTGGGTTATTTAGATCATGTCCATTATATGCACCTGCATCTGAGTTAAAATTCAGCTAAATGCACCAGACCCATCCAAGTTGCATATAACTATGCAGAGTCCCCCGTAGTCCGTACAGTTGATCAGGTGAACTTCAAGTTCACTGTAGGTAGCAGAATCTACACAGAAGGCAGATATGCATTTACACACCCAGCTTTTGGGCTTCAGGCAGCTTGGTATAGCTCTCTGGAGAGAAGCTAAAAGCATGGCAGGTTCTTCTACTAAAAGTGTACAAGTTCAGAATGCATATGGTGGGAGGCGACAAGGATTTTATGACACAATAATTCTGTATGTTAGAGACGTTCTGTACATGGAAACTTAGTACACAGGCAGAAAAGTCCTGGACCAGATTTCTCTTTAATGGGCTAGCTATTAGTGTGGAGTAGTCTCGTCCTGAAGAGGAACAGATCTCCATTATCACGCAATGATAATATTGCAGGTGGACTGTCCCACGCATCTTTTTTGAATGAAATGAATCTCAGCAAGATTCATTTTCAGTGTGTAAAATGGGTATCCAAGGCACCACCCACATAGACTTGCTAAGAATACAGTGAAGAACTTGTATCAAAGTTACCTTGCCATTCCCACAGAGTCAGGGTACATTCCATAGCTGACATCCAGTAATAAGCTGCAGCTAGAGGAGACCTGCAGAAACAGTAGGGACTCTTTATATCAACTCATTCATATGTTCTTAAGCCTATTCTAGCTGTGACTTAACAAACCCAGACAGCATCTTAAAAAGCAGAGACATCACCTTGCCAACAAAGGCCCACATAGTCAAAGCTATGGTTTTTCCAGGAGCGATGTATGGAAGTGAGAGCTGGACTATAAAGAAGGCTGACGGCCAAAGAATTGATGCTTTTGAATTGTGGTGCTGGAGGAGACTCTTGAGAACAAACCTATCCACTCCAAAGGAAATCAAGCCTGAGTGCTCACTGGAAGGACAGATCCTGAAGCTGAGGCTCCAATACTTTGACCATCTCATAAGAAGAGAAGACTCCTTGGAAAAGATCTTGATGTTGGGAAAGTATGAAGGCAAGAGGAGAAAGGGACGACAGAGGATGAGATGGTTGGTCGGTGTCATCGAAGCGACCAACATGAATTTGATCCAACTCCAGGAGGCAGTGGAAGACAGGAGGGCCTGGTGTGCTCTGGTCCATGGGGTCATGAAGAGTAGGACATGATTTAATGACTAAATAACAAAAAACTGTGACTTACTACTTGATGTCAGCCTATCTGGAAGCCTTATGCTTCCACACAGAAGTTCTAGGAAACACAGCATGTACAGTATCTATTTTGTAAGGCATACACATGATGCTGTAGAAATGTATGCAATTATCATACATGATGAAGGACATGAGATCCATTTAAGTTTCTACACCAAACTGATTCTTATTTATAAATTATTCAATGCAAGCCTAGGGAAAGACCTTCTGAGTAAACCACCCTGAAATTAACAAGGGTTGCAAAGTGGCTGAGGAAAGAGAAGCTCCTGATAGATCATCCTTTTCATTTTTGTGTAAGGCAGCTTTAAGAAACGCTCTTTTGTTTGAAACAGCCACTCTTTAAAAGGCAGCGTTCTAGCTTTCATGTTGCTCAAAGCTCTGCCTAATCGGAAAGCCTCCACTCAATACCAAACATTTTCTGTTAAGAAGGGATCTGTGGCACAAAAGCTTATATTCTCCGTCTTCAAACCGGATTTGAAGAAACCAGAATAGTCTACGGGTAATGCCTAACTTTTTGTCTTGTGTCCCAAGGAAGACCTATTATTAATCCTATCCAGTTCAGAGATATACCGAGCGGTGTCAGATATAAAACTTACCGATACAAAAGATACCCCATCCATCAATCAATCAACCAACAAGCGGATTGTTTTCCCGTCTCATACGTTTCAGTGCAAGTGATTCAAAAACACATGGGTCAATTCTTCCCTTAAACCGAAGAGACTTTAAGGAGCTCAGCAATGGCTGCATCGTGTCCATGTCTAGATACATTGCTAAAATGCATCTATATTGAAAAGCAGATGCAAATAAAATGCATTGCAACGTTTCCTCCTATCAAAACTTCGTGAGGGATGCGTTTCTGGAGGGTTCCGCTCCCTCCACCGGCTTCCCTTCCTCTGAAAAAGAAGATAAACCCCAGCTAGTTCTCTCTATCTCTCTCTCTTTATTTTTTGTTGTTGTTGTCCTTTAGCACCAGGAGATACCAGTGTTCTGATATTTCCTACACACACACAGACACACTCATCAGAGAAGCTGCAGATCCATCACCGAAGCACAAAAGGACGCCCTCGCCACCGAGAGACAAAAGAGCGTGAGAGAGAGAGAGAGAGAGAGGCGGAGGACGCGGGCGCAGCCGGGTGGGAAGCCCACATGGCACGCCGGGGAGGGGGGGGAGACGCTCGCTCGCTGGGGCGCCGCCGCTCTCGCCTTACCGTGCCCCGCGGGGTCCTCGCATCCTCCTTCCCAGGAAGGCGCGGCGGAAGGGGAGAAAGAGGCAACGGCAGCCCAGGGATCATCCACCGCCGGAGCGTCTTCCGTCAGCTTTCTCCCTTCTCCTCGGAAAAAAAGCCGTTTTAAAAGATCCTCTCCCTGCCCGGTTCGGAGAGGGGGGGCTGGTTGAGGCAGGGAGGGGGGGCGGCGGCGGAGGAGGAGGAGGCGGACGGGCGGATCGACCGTCTCTTTCCCCCCCCCCTTTCTTTCCTTTCACTCGGACTTAAAGAGTTGCAGGGAAGGAGCCCGGGGTAGGGGAGGTCAGGCGTGAGGGAAGCTCCTGAAGGGCAGGGAAAGGATCCCTCCTCTTTCTCCTTCCTTTTGTTGCCCCAACAAAGACATAAAGCCATGCCCAGCTTGGTTTCCTGGAAAAAGCCTGCCCGCTGGTCCAACAGAGAAGGTGCAGAGATAGGCCGGCTGGGCGTGCAGAGGAAGCGTTGCCTCTGGGAGGCAAGAGGTGCAAAGTCGCTCCAACTCTCTCCCCCCTTCTGGCTTCTGCTATTGCCATCTCTCCCGCCACCGCCACTGCCCCCCGCCCACAAGTAGCACCAAGTCCTGGCTTCTTGCAGATGAAGGAGGAGACAGGCAGACAAGGGCGGTGGGGAGGGAGAGCAGAGCCCTTGTCTACCAGCCTTACCTATGGTGGACACCCCCCTTTGGTATTGAGAGGGATTGTGTGTGGGACGGGATGGTTGCTTTGATCGCCCAGCGCAAAAAGCGAGCAAGCAAGACAAGGCAGGGTAAGCAAGCAAGCAAATGAAGAGGCAATCCTGCCTTGTCTTGCTTGCTCGGTGCTTCCCGGGTAGGCTGCCCCACGGCGGCTTCCGCGCAGGGAAGGGGCACTGTTCTCCTGTGAGGGGTGCTGGGGGAAAGGTTTAGCACCAGCACACTCTGTGGCTGGCTCCTGAGGCGCGGGCGCGCGGGGTTCGCCCAGCTGACATGCTCGCTTTCTCTTGGCTCGACCTGAATGTAAAAGGCGCCACTTCGTGCCCTCGCCAGGAATGCCTCTCGAGATGGCTGGCAGGAGCGGAGCCCCGGGGGGGGGGGGGGGGGGCGGGGCCCCGGGGGGGGGGGGAGGAGGCGTCATTGAGAAGCCAGGGTGGCATGGGCTGCGGCGGAGTCCCCGAAAAGGGTTCTGCTGTGGCGTCAGAGCTACACCCTTGTCTATCGGCCGTGGCGGTAACGACCTCTCTCGCATCCAGGGCTGGTGCATGACATTTTGCTGCTCCGGGTGGACCCCCACCAAGACATGCTGGCTAGTACCCAGAGCCCACGGGGTTATACCGACACGTGGAGAAAACCCCACAAGCTGTTCTCTCCGTCCCTGGCAGTTAAGAAAGGGGGGGGGGAGCCGTTAGTAACAATTATTGTGATAATCGGTGTTGCCCAGGGATGTCCTGGGACGGGTGCTTTTCAGCTTGCTCATAAATCACCCGGAGGCAGGGATAAGCAGTGAGGTGGCCAAGTTTGCAGATGACACCAAACTTTTCCGATGTGGTGAAGACCAGAAGGGATTGTGAAGAGCCCCAGAAGGATCTCTCCAAACTGGGAGAATGGGTGGCAAAATGACATTTTTTTTCAATATAAGAAAATGTAAAGTAATGCACATTGGGGCGAAATATCAAAACTTTATTTATCAGCTGATGGGTTCTGAGCTGTCCCTGATGGATCAGGAAAGAGATCTTGGTGTGCTGGTGGACAGCTGGATGAAAGTGTCAACCCAGAGTGCAGCGGCAGTGAAGAAGGCCAATTCCATGCTACATACCATTAGAAAGGGGATTGAAAATATAACAGCCAATATTCTGATGCCATTGTATAAAGTGCTGGTAAGGCCGAACCTGGAGTATTGTCCCTTATGAGGAAAGGCTACAGCGTTTGAGGCTCTTGAGTCCAGAGAAAAGGCGACTGAGGGGGGACATGACTGAGACATGTAAAATTATGCAGAGGGTGGAGAAAGTGGATAGAGGGAAGCTCGTTTCCCTCTTACGCAACACCAGGGGACAGCCACTCAAATTGAGTGCTGGGAGAGTGAGAGCAGACAAAAGAAAATATTTATTTACCCAGCATGGTGTTAGTCTGTGGAACGCCTTGCCACAGGATGTGGTGATGGCATCTGGCCACTGTGAGATACAGAAAGCTCGACTAGATGGGCCGTTGGCCTGATCCAGCAGGACTCTTCTTATGTTCTAATTTGTTGCCCTTTAATGTCAACAACAACTCTCTGTGGGGAACTGCCTCATCCTGCTCATGGGTAAGGCTGACCTGTCTGGATGCTCTCAGCATAACCAGACCTTTCCTGAGAGTATCGGACCATGTTCTGAGTGGGGCTATTCATCCCACAGTGGCAAGGTGAGGCACCCTCCCTCCCCTTAGATCATGAAGTATATGTAGTTTCTGACAGATCAGTAGGTGGAGCAACCCTGGAAACTGGAGTTTAGTCATTCGGAGGGTAAAAGATGCAGGCACCAAATCAGCGAGGCAGTGACCTAAAACTAGAACCCAATAAAGTTTCCCCTTTTTTTGGATTACTTTTCCCAGAATGCCCCAGCCAGCCTCTCCACTTAGCATGTTGGCAGAATACCACCGAGTCACAGATGCCATCCTTTTGGAGAATGAAACAATTGATCACACAGAGAAAACTGAATCATTCCAGCTTTAAAGGGGGGGGGAGCTCCCAGCAGCAAAGAAAAAAACTGTGTTGGGAGCAAAAAAGGCTGAACTGGTTCGAATTTGATGATGCAGTCATAGCCTCACGTCTACTCCATCGTTTTCAATTTCCCCTTTCCTCATATCAATTTGTTGACCATCTTTAAAACCCTACGAATGCAAAATGGGATGTAAAGGGTGTCTTGTGGTGTTGCTGTAACGTAGGAGTGAATAGTGCCTCCTTGCTCTGCCCCATAGTCTTCTGACAGTTGCATAAATGCTCATGATCTGATTTTTGCACATTTGTCCAAAAATTGTGCCTCTTGTCTATTTACATTACTCATATAGGGATAGAGCTGGCATATTAGGAAAATGATGCCAGGCCAGGCCATGTGGTAATATCAGCTCATTCATATGAGAATAGACCTGATGTACAGGGAAACTGATAGCTTACAGCAACACTCTAGCTGTGAGGACCATGTTGAATTGGCTTTGTTGTTACGCAAGGAGAAAATTGATCCGCTGTCCCTTGATGGCTTGACAAAGACTTGCCTGCTCATCTTTCAGCTTCTTCATCTCCTTCACATTAGGTGTTTATCAAGCAATTATGAACCAATACATGAGGGTTTTGCATTTTTAAAAATCCACTTCCACTTGCAAAAGCCGGAGTTTATGTGGCATAGGAGGGAGGACACTTCTGTTCAGAAAAATACAAAACAATTTAAAAAAAAAATCTGTTCCACATATAGAATGTAGTACTATGTAGCTGCTTGAGTTGTAGCCCTTGAGGGCAGGAGACTTTACCCTTGTGTTATTTCTTTATTAGCATTTTAAAATTAAATGTATATCCTACTTTTCCTGCAATGAACTCAAGGTAGTGTACATGGCTCTCCTCCCCATTTTAATTTCACAACAGCCCTGTGAGGTAGGTCAGGCTGAAAGAGTATGCAGGCCCAAGATCATCCAGTTAGTTTCATGGCCAAGAGGAGATCCAAATCCAGGTTTTCTATGGTCCAGCGTTCTAATTGCTACCTTATGCTAGCTCCTCCAATCTCTCCTGGATCCTTTCGAATCAGTCTCCTCTCCCTGCCCCCACTGTTCATGACATGCAATAATCAATGATCTTCAAAATCAGTACAATACGCAGAAATCCCCCTTCCTCTCTCTCCTTGTGGCACAGGGTGTGCAGTACAGAATGGAACTTTTCTGAATGTAAATAATATACATGCATCTGCTCACATTAAAAATAGCAGTTAGTCTTTGTGTAAATTTGATGCTTCCAAAGTAATGAGACAGAGGTGGGTGAGCCTCCCTTTTGAACCACCAGATTGAACTCAGTACCTATATTCCAGGCCTCTCTTTTGGCAAGGTTTTTGTTTTTGTTTTAATTTTTTGGCAGGAGGAGTGTCATTCATCCATCAAGCTTTCCCCTTTGCCATGAACTTGAAACTGTTTTTCTTTTTCTGCAGCACAGTACAGACGTCGGTAAGAATACTGGTCCCCCATGGCTTTAGCAAGAGGTCAGCAAATTCAATTTCACTGCCTAGCACCTATTTAGATTGATTCCTGGCTCACCCAGTACAGTAGCCAGCTAGACCTGAAGCTGTAGATGTGACATGACTTCTGAAATTACTGCACCACATTTTTCCTTCTCTGAGTGCTTAAAAAACACACAGTTTGTTGTGAATGCCATTACATTCACACAAAGGACTGCATGCAATATAAGAGAAAATAAATGTGAATTGGTTCTTGTGTCACGCAGGAAGGAGGCTTATAGATTTAATAGATACTTTGGAAATTGGAATTATGTGGCTTTTGTCACTGTCAGGTGACACTGATTTTTTTAAAAGCCTCTTCTGCTGAATCTATGTATTTAATATCTAGCTCTGCTACTTCATTCAGGAAGATTTTTTTAAAAGGGACATGAACACAGACGTCGATTGGTAAATGAAAATATAGGTGAAATTTTGATAGGGTTTTATGTAAGACCAGTATTGTTTAACACATGGATACAGGCATATAAATCCCAAGCCTATCTAACTTCCTGAGCTAGGATTTAGTATTTTAATTGTTCATGTTATTGGGGAAATGAAAGAGGTAATAAAAACTGACAGAGTATCAGCATTTACAGATTGAGTTTTTAATGCTCAGTTTTGGAAAAGGTGTAAACTTTCAGGCAGAAGAAGATAACATTTAAGTTGTTCACGTATATACACAATAGTACTGGGGTCTGTAGATGTGACTTACATTTTTTTTTCTGGTGGTAGGAATGTTAACTTTGTTCTTAGAGTAAGTTGATGACATACTAAGATATTAAGATGATTAGAAATACATTTTAGGGGTAACTTGATTTATAGTTTCTTTTGAACATAATCCTATAATGTTGTCTTTTAATGTCTTGCAACTCCATGCTTTGTGGTCAAAAAGGGGTCAGGTTCAATCTACAGGATTCCAGACAGGACTGGGCAAAATCTTGTGTCTGAACCTATGTAGATCTGATGCTAGTGGTTTCAGACCAGTCTTCCCTTATAAAGGCCTGGATCATGAGTGTTATCTTCCCCAGTCAGGAGCTGCAGATGATGATCGTCATAATCCACTGTCGTAATAAGTAAATAAATATATTTG